TAATATAATAATAGTAATAACAACAATAAGAATAATAATCATAATGGCAATAATAACAACATGAAGATAGTTTCAGATATGAATAGTTATCGACTTATTTGAAAACCAATTTCAATATTTGAATATTCCATTTCTCAAAAAATAATGCATAGATAGAGAATACAGAAAAGTGCATTTTGAAATACCCTCATTTCAATCACATTAAAATAATGGAACAAGTTCAATCAACGAACCAAACAATAGATTCACAAACGATCTCACTGCGACACACTCGATCTGACGACAATAACTGTACCAATGATGGAACGATACTCTGCATGAAACTTTCGGTTCCGATCGCAATACTCAACTGTATCAAGAAACGTCGATCCAATAACTGAAACTCTTATTGAATCGACTCATTCACTGACTCAAATTTTGTATAATCCTTAAAAACAAATAAAGAACAAACCTTCAAAACACTCGGATAAAACGCCTCATCGTGATAAATATTATTGATAACAGGTAAGAGAATATCGTTGAAGTCGTTCGAATCGAAATAAAAGATCAGATAAACAAATGCATTGGTCAGTACTGCTATTGCAATTGTTGGATCTGATAGTAACTTGATGAATAAACTTGATAAGTTATAACGCAAATCGTGTTCGTTTATACGCATACATTCAATCAGCGATTCCACCTGCTCATTCAATAGATCGCCATTCTTTTCATCTGAACATTTAATCTTTTATAGGGTTGATGTTTAAAAGAAACTCATTTATTGTTATGAAATGATTCTCTTTCAAATCTTTTAAAAGTTTATTCGGAATAATTACGCTTCATTCAGGCAAATGAAAACATTCTGAAAGAAAATTCGACTAAAAAATTCACTTCTGAAAAATGAATTTTGCTGCAACGAGAAGGATACATCAAGGATTATCCAGAAAACGTTCACATCTAAATCGAACGTTCACAAACCTCGAGGTAACAACATTCGTCTGTATGCTAAATTATGAAAATCGACCAAGTGCGAGTGAATATGCATTATTTTCGATGGCAGATTGAACGTGTTTAATAACCAATTTGATATATATACACTCTTCTGTAACTTTATCAAATATTACCATCCCATATTATCATTCTAATCTGTTCACATCCCATAAACTCACTACCAAACGAAGGCCAACATGAAATCTTGATACGAGACGTGAAGCAATCAATCAAAAAGACACAATAAATGCGATTGTTTTGATAAAAGTATGAATAATGATAACAGCAAAAGTTCGTAATAATCTAATAACACTAATCAAATAATAACTCAAATAATGCGCATTAATATGACCGATAATATGCAATATCCTGCATATATCAATCAAACTTCAGTTGCACAAATCAAAAACGATAACCTCTAATCGCCATTCACACGGATCGTTTCGTAAAATCAGTTTCAGCGGTTCACGGATGTGTCTAAAACACGAATTATATACACATCTATTTACGTTTATCAAATTCGTCGGTACATTTTTAAAACATCACAAAATGTCACATCTGTGTTTTTAAAATATCAAAAATTCCATCGGAATGATCAAATAAATACAGTAACAGTAATAGTAATAGTAGTAACAATAATAATAACAATCAACAAATAAACAAATGATTCTTCAAAACAAATGGAGCAATAATTACCCGGGTACTAAATATCCATAAGACAGAATCAACCTCTTGGCTCTACTCAGTCGATCTTCAAATGCAGCTGTCGGCGACAAGTCACGACAATACTTCGACAACGTCAATTCCAATATCGTTACCGCAATACTCAGCACTGAATCATTTTGCTGCTTATTTTGTTTCTGCTAAAATTCAGTGATCATTTTCATTGTTTGATCATATTCTATAAACTTATTAACGACCCTAAAACCATTCCCTTCACCACAAAATATCGCCATCTCATTTCTATTTCTTCTCAGAAAAATACTTCCGAATTTGAATGAGCCAGGCAAAAACACTAAATGACGATGATATATATAACTGCTGAACGTCGCTTCGATTAAAATGATGCTCCTAACTAGCCTTTGGCTGACGTATTGTCAATATACGACAAAAACAACCACCATCTTCATTATTGCGATCAAAGTCAAAAATTCATTGACCATTAATTGGTTAATACTAGAGAAGAGATGAACGCAAAATGCATAAAATTTCACTTTGAATTCAGTGATTTGCTTAATTTATGAACTATTCATTTCAAAAACAAAAATAAATAATAATGACATAAATCTAAACAAAACAAACCGCCGACTGCTGAACATCTCTGAAAATGTCACTCAAATGAAGTGTCCCTCCATTATCAGCGGGTTCGTCGACAAGACGTGAACTGTTCAAAGCACGATATAATGGATTATATTTGGGTGAATCCAATACGTTTACGATTATATTTCCCTCTGATGAGTTTAATCTTCTTCAAACAAAAAGTAAAACCTTTAAAATTATTCACTAAATTGAACAAGTACTATATCAATGATATATATAACATCAGAAAGTTAGTAACCGATTGATCGAAATCATAAAATCAACAAATCAGATCAAGATGAACCTTTTTGGATGAGGCACGTTGAAGAGTTGTACAATGCCGGACGTGCGTGGTATGTGACTCTTCTGCACTGATGACAAATGCACGTTCAGTTCATCGACTGCATAGGTACCACACAACTGAAATTAATAAACAAATTTTTGAGGTGTTCACCGACGAAAGTTACCTTGAATGCTTACAATGCTCATTACTGATTCCAAACTGAGCCATCATTTGCCTCCTACCTAATCATCTTTTTTAGTTTTGGAATGAATACTTCAATTTTATGAGTGAACAAAATATTCAATAAAATTGAAAATCAACAAAAATAAAGAATATTACCTTATATCCGAATACCAAATCGATCCACTGATGCAAATTCGACGACACGTAATCAGACTCGAGCATCGAGCGATGCCATTCTATGAAATCATTCGCATCATCACACCACGATGGCAATTCCAAATCACACATATCTGCAATCAACGTTCATGCATTACAAACGCAAATTTTATTGATGAAATAAAATTGTAATTGATTAATGATGACAATACTAAATAATCACCTGGATGGATCGAGTGAAAGAGAGAAGGATCACTGTAGAATTCGGGAATGCACTCGTCCGGTGTCCATTCGTAAATTCGTGCCACAGAGCGAGGATATTCCTCTGGTACCCACTTAATCAACGATGAATTACATCCACATCAGTTTGATGTTTCAAAGACTCATTGAAACAGATTCGAATCTCAAATGTGTCAGTCGAATTTCAACGATTCATCGAAACAATTTCAAATTCGAATCACTAATGAACAATAATATTTCCATCCCCTCATCGTAATATAAA